CTTTTCTTCTAATCCGTATTCACTGATTTTTTTCCCTCATCTATACCTTTGAAATAGAACATACTTTGGAAAGAGAATATTTTTCAGATTTTAATACTTCAGAGAAGATGTCAGTAGTTATGATAAAATATATTCAATTTCACTTTAAAGGGGAACAGTTCAAATATAAACAATCTTTTTAAAAAAATTTATATTTACAAGCATATATTATTTCTACTACCTCTCCCCACTTCCACTCCAATTGAACAATTAAAAAAAACAAAACAAAACAAAGCTGTCACAACAAACATATATAATATGTCCAGCAAAGCAAATTCCCAAATTGGCTATGTCCAAAAATGCATAGACTATAGTAAAACTCTCAATCTATTTACCAGTCACTTCAGCCTTCTCCTTGTGCCTATGTGTAAATCTAAGCATCTAGCTCACATGATCAGTAAGTGCTTAGTAAACTGTTGAATTGAATTTTATCTACTCTCCCTCCTCCCCCTACATCCTGGAAAAGACTCTGATGACAGTGAATTAAAAGGGGGAAGAAAAGATCCCAGAGAGTCAACAAATTATTAATCAATTGATGCATAACAAAAAAGTTGAATGTAGATTCAACTATTTCTTGGAAATGACAGGAACACTAAGGAAGAAAGACAAGTCAAAGTGGCAAAGGAAGGGAATACCCTGACATCTGAAGGTGAAAGAGAACTGTTTATTGGTGTTTTTTATCCTTTCATGCTATGAGTAAGACTGTGCAATACTTATGGGCATGGCACTCAGATGGAAAGATAATGAACAGGAGAAAGAAAGGAAATGTATATGGCAGGTGATACCTACCCTTGGTCTATAAGAACTTTCCCTTCATCAATATGGATCTCAACTTTTCTACAACACAATTAAGTAGCAAATTTTAGGAAATTGCTTGAGGCAAGCAAGATGTTAAATTACTTGCCCAGAATCACAAAGCTAAAAATTTTCAGAGGCAGGACTCCAACCCAGGGCTTTCTGAGGCCAACCTCAGCATTCTATCCACTATTACACCACAGTAATACTACTACATATAGTGTTACTACTATTATAGTACTACACCACTGTGTAATAGTACTACATAGGATTACACAGTAATCCTATTTTGCTCTTAATCCTAAATTACTGTGTAATCCAATTTAGTAGTAAACTTTAAAGTATTCAGAGGCAAGCAATCTAGTTAATCCATTCTCAGAGACTGGACTTCATTGTGTCTCTTGCATGTATCTTAGGCACATTATGGTATAATTAAGTCAAATAATTCTTGCTAATTAGAACAATGCTGTAATTAGACTTTTAGTTGTTTTCTTTGAGTCAGCTCCAACAATATAACAAATTTCTCAGTGTGTTATATCTTTTTCATGACTCCAAGTAAGAATAATTCTGAATCCTAAAAAACATTTGGATTAGGTAGTATTAAGATTCAGGACCATGAGGGAAAACTGACACTGGGGGAAAAGGGTTCATTCTGGGAGACAAAGGGACAGGAAAAGTTGGACCTGGCCATTGAAAACTATACAATTTAACTATATAGTTTATATAATTCAATTAAACTAAATTGAACAAGCATTTATGCATTTAATCAACTTCATTTTTCATAATGAAGGAAAATGACTCATGATGCATAATGGTTTGGTTGTACAAAGGGAAGCCTCAGAGTAGTTATGCTTTTTCTAAATTCAAATTTGGGAAGAAAGGAGGACAGGGGACAAATGAGTGATGAGAGAAGAGAGACAAGCTACATACATGGACAGTAGTCATCTGAACAGTCTTTAATGCACAGTTTACCATGACACATGAGACAATTTCTGAGACAGCCATATAATGGTTCTAAGACTGATAAATTTTGGATGCTGTCTTTTGATGAGCCTTATATTGTGTCTTATGTGCTCACCTGTGTCAATTTGAAAAATAGATAAAGGGAAGTATTTCAATTCTGCTTCTTCCTTTGGTTACCTCCTTAGCTTCTATGAGTTCAATGATATTCTTTCTGAAGGTGACTCCAAAAATCATCATATCCAACTGTAAGGATAATTCCTCCATCATTTCGATAAGTTTATAAGACACTGAGCCTTTGTCTGAAAGCATTTCCACCTACAGAATATAGATATGCCCTCTGGGGCCTTGTTAAAATAACAAACTATAACTTGCTGATTCAGACCCAGTCAATGACACTTAATATTTTGTCATCTTCTTATGAGATGCCAATGGGTGCAGCTTTAACCTTGCTACTGAACTCCAGTTGCATATTATTGGCTTCTGTATTTTACCTTGATGTTCCTTGATGTTTGAAGCATGTCAAATTCTACATGTCTAAAATGGACTAATATTTTCTTAAAAATTCATCCCTCCTCCAAACCTCCCTGTTATCTGTTGTTGGGACCACCATCCTGCCTTACATCTCCAGAACCTTCATTCTTCCAATCTAATAAGTTGGTGCAATTTGTTAATCTTATAGCCACAACATTTCTTACATTTGTCTCCTCTCCATTCACAATCCACTACCCTAGTTAAGTTCTCATCTTTCACTTAGATTATTTTTATTAGATTAGATTATTTTATTTTTTCACTTAGATTATTATTAAGTCTTTCACTTAGATTATTTCAATGGCCTCATATATTCTCCCAGTCTCTATCTCTCCTATCCTTCACATCATCATCACATAGCTGGCAAATTGATATTCCTAAAACGTTTCTGATTTTAATCCCTATCCCTTGACTCAAAAAGCTTCAACAGCATTTCTCAAGGATAATATACAGAATTTTAGTTGGCATTTATTAAAGAGCTCCACAGTTCAGATTACATCTGCCTTTCAAGTCTTATTTCATACTACTTCCCTCAACCCCTCTCATGCACTCTCCAGTCAAATTGGTCTGTTAGCTACTTCTTGTATGCATGTTCCATCTCCTTCCTCCATGACTTTATACAAGTGGTCCCTCAGGTCTCTAATTTCCTTCAAAGCACAGTTCAGATGCCACATCCTACATGTGTCCATTTCTGTCCCTTAGTTATTGCCATCCTCTTGAAATTACTCTGTCGATTTTAAATTTATCAACTTTATATTTACTTACACTTATCTCTGTACATTTTCAACCTCCCTCTCCCTCAAGAATAAAAGCTTTTGGGGGGCAGGGACTGGTTCATTTTTGTCTTTGTATCTCCAGGACATGGTCCTTAGCACAGAGTAAGGTGCTTTAATAATTTTTTTAATTGAATGCATGCTTAAGCTTGTTACTATGTCAGTAAGAATCAACCCCCTCAGAACAATGAGAATGAAATACTGCATACACTGTCAGATTTTGCTGATGTATTTATTAGTATTTCTGACTTTTCTTAATTTTTTTATTGTTATAAGAGCCAGCTCCTTGGGTGGGACAGGAAAAGGGATATACTTGGAAATGAAGATAATATAAAAACAAAAGTTATCCATAAGAGAAAATTTTAAAGAGGACTTCCATCTGTCTACTAAGGATGTCTTAGGTATTCTTTCCACCACAACATAATGTAAGTCATTTACACATTTGCTAACTACGACAAAAGCAAAAACCTTCCTTTTCCAATCACATGTGGACCCTCAGTCTGGCTGGAGCCAGAGTAAGCAAAATGCAGTTACACTGTAGAAATGGCTAATGTTTATTGCAAAAGAGATCATAGTCCAGAGAGATAACTCTCTGGGATAGGTTTGAGAACAAAATAGGAGAGAACGTAAGATCTGGTATAATGAGTGATTTCTGTAGGGAAGAAGTTGTGTGGCTTTCAGAGAAATTGTGAAATCAAAAGGGATGAAGAAAATTATACAGCAGAAGACTGCTAGAGCAAGAGCATTAAGGAGGAGCTTAGGCCAGCGGCTCTGTGCCAAATTCAAAGAAGATCATAGGTCTGACAATCCAGGAGAGCCACAAGTTGGGCATTTCAAGTGGTTTAGGGGAGAGGAACATTATTCATTAAGCAACCATTCATTAATCATCTATTGTGTGGCAAAGTGCTATGCTTAGCAGTGCGGAAGATAGAAACACAATTGAAGATGTCCAGTAGGTGAAATGACAAACACAAATATATCACAATTTGGTTATCTAAGTAACAAATCTGACGTTTAAGGCCAGACCTACTTTGTTAAGTCGTTAAACTGGTTGTTAATTACGGTTAACTACAGCCGAACTAGAACAGGGACGATAAGGCTTCTGTGCTAGAGGGCACTTAAGAAATCACCTGGTCCAACCCTATTATTTTACAAATGAAGACACTACTAATATCCCGAAAAAGTGAAGTTACTTGCCCAAGGTGATATAGGTTACTACGCGATAGAGCCAGAATTCAAACCCAGGTTTTCTGACTCCAAATTTAATGTCTTTCCAACTAAAAAGGAAAACTAGCAATAACTGTAAGTGCTTCAGTAATCTGTAAGGAAAGGTGAAGATAGAGAGGAGCAAAGATTTCTAAAGGAGAAACCCTGATTCCTGAATGATGGAAGCTGAAATTAACTCAAGCGATGGCAAAAAACGACGCTGGGCCCAATTCTGTCTCAGAAGTTACCACATTTGCCAACCAGCAAGGACCCTCTACCCTTCCACCATCCCAGCCATCCCGTCGGCGTCCTTCTTTCCCCACCCAAAGAACAACATCCATTATAGAAACATCTCTCTCAAAAACAAAAAAAGTATTTGATTTACAATACTATCAAGGCAACACCAGACAACATATTTTGAATGGGTTTCCATCTTCCCCTGACGTCCTTGCCCTTTTGCGATTTTAAAAGCCATTCTCTCGCCCGTCTCCTTGTTCCTTCAAATCTTTCTCGTAAAATCCTGAAGTAGCGGTATGCTGTCCCGGCGCAGGAAACAAGCCCTCCTGCTGAGCATGCTCAGTACAAGGGTAAGCTTCTTGCTAGAACAGTAACACAATATGGTATTCTTTGGGATTAGGACTATTAGAAAGAAGAGTTTAGGGCAGCGGGAACTTCATTGCCGCTACTGCGCAGACTCTTCTTTTCACGCAGGCTTATTGGGAAGAAAGCGGCTAAAATTGACGGTAGACACGTGAACTAGAGCGGACCACCCCTCCTTCCCTCAGCTGTACTGCTTTGGATTCTCAAATTTACAATCACGAAAGTTCTATTGTCTCAGGATTGGCCCTTTGTGACACATGACATCATAGAACTTGATTCATAATTCGGCTTCCTATTCGCCCATCGCACCATTGTGACGTCACAATCAGCCCACGTTTTATTGTAGGTACCCAACTCCCCCCTCTCCTCATCTTCGTGGTTCATCTCTGCCTCGGCCCTCCCTCCCACATCCTCTTCGGTTCTAGCGTGACAGTCTGGAAGAGCCGGCTGTCCCTCCAGCTTTTACTGCTGCCGTAGCTGTTGCTGCTTTCGCAAAGCTGCTGCCACTGGGTCTAAGGAGGTAAGCTATTAGCGTTAAGGAAACTTCGTCCTGGAACTGTGTTCTGCCATGGCAGATATGAAAAAAATGAAGGAAGCAGAGGGGCATGCCTTCTAGCGTTACATTTTCTCTGCCTCGTCTCTCTAGGCTGGACCGAGCCTGAGAGTGGTTTATCTTATAAATGCAGCTGTTGCCGCTCCACCACAGTGGGTTGGAAGAGCTATGTTTTATTTCGGCCGCCTTTTCGGGCATGGAAAAGTATGCCTCTTTGAAAGGTGAATGAGCAAGGGGTAGATTTTGTAGGTTCTCTCCTCTTCTGCCCCTCCACTCTGCACCTCCTGCTTCATTTTACTCCAATCTTATTAGGAACCGAAGCTTAAGAGTTTTTGCCCTACCAGTGCTTATCGCACCTGTTAGGCTAGTGGAAAGGACTGCAAGCTGGTTTTCTACACCTAGCAGATTCTGTGTGGATGCACAGACTCTGCAAAGAGAGCTAAATGCGGGGCGGGATAGGGTTCTCTGTGGTAGGTCTCTCTATGGTTGTCGGCTGACCGGCTTTGGATGGATTTGCAGAGGGGAGGTCGGGGGAGCTGTTGCTGTTGCTGCGGCTTCCGTTTGGGTGGATTTACAAATGTTGAAGAAAGAGGGGAACGCTTTGGAGTAGGGTTTCCCCTGCTGTTGTGAGAAGCTTGAGACAAAAAAAGAGAGAGAGAGAAGACATCAGCTGCTTGAGTACATTTCTGCTCCCAGGGCCGTGAAAAGAGGCAGATGTTAGGTTCTCAGCTGCCTTGGCCGGGTGACTTAACCTCCCTAGCAAACCAAGAGGGGTTTTAGGAGGGTGGGGGAGCCTGTTTGTCGGTTTGTGACTGTGTGTGCGCCTGCCTGTGTATGCCGCCCTTCCCCCAGGACCCGGGTGGAAGGATTGCTTTCCTGGGACTGCTTTGGTTTTATTAAAACCAGATAGGAATGGCTTTAAAACCTTATGATGAGTGGTGAGAAAGATGAGATTGGTGAAGAGGCAGAGTGGCTCCGAGGGAACGACAAAGGCAGCCGTTTTAGGGAGGCAGGGAGCGAAGAGCCTCGCTGCCGACCCCGTCTACCCCCCAACATCAGCTCATGAGAGCGGTGGGAGCTGGTTGGCTGTGTGTGAGAGCCTAAAGCCGACTACCTCTAGGGAGAGAGGAAGGGGTGGGAAGGAAGGGTTGCTCGGAAACTTGAGTACAGGATGGTGAGCGGGCTAGGGGGGGGAGAGAGAGAGACTGGGAGGAGGAGTGTATCTTTTTTTTAACTTTATAAGGAAAACAGCTTATTTAGCATTTTCATACAATCCCCTTTTCCTTCTCTTCTCCCCCCTAAACAAACGAACAAACCCTGTGTGCTAGAGCTTTTAGAGACTGTCTTGTAAACGTTGAGTGCGATTGCAAGTTAAGGGTGAGAATTTCCCCTTTCGGTTGTGAGTTGACTTCACCCCCCCACTCAGTTCCAGGTGACAAATCTGGAATATAGTATGTGTTGTCCAATTCAGGTCACAGAAACCCGTACAATTGAGAAATTCGGTGAGTGGTTATTAGCCGGGTGGGAAGGCATAAAGGCGGAGTTTCGAGTTGGGAACTGGTAACGGTAGGTAGAGACTTAACTGGATCAGTTACAGGAAGGGCTGTATTAGTGTTAAAAAAGACGGAAGAGCTGCAACATTGCAACCAGGTCCCTCCAACTTTGCAGATGTCTTGTTTCTCGATGTTGTTTTACGTGCTTGCTTTCTTCAGTTAACCAAAAAGTTAACATTTAACTAGTTTTTTACTGGCTTGTTGGGGAGGAAAAGGTACTTAATAATTTTCTTTTTACGTCTTAAATGGAGTACATTTTAAAAGATCTGGAAGTCTAGTTCATTGAATCAACTCTGTGATATAGAAGCTAAAAAAAACAAAAAAAAATACCCGAGGATATAATGCTCACCTCATGAAAGGTAAAAGTCCAGTTGTACCCTGCCCTGGTCAGAACACATCTGGATTTTTGTATTCAGTTCTGGGTACCACAGTTTAGGTAGGACACTGACAGGTGGGACCATATTCAATGGAGAGCTAGCAGAATGAAGAAAATAAATAGAAATCATGAATATAGGGAGATCAGTTGAAGGAACTGGAGTTACTTAGCTTAGAGAAAAGACTTTGAAAGGACAGGATAGTTAAGTGAGTCACTTTGTAAGACTGTCTGGTAAAAAAGCAATCAGACTCCTTCTGCCTGGCCCAAAATGAACCTTAAAAAAACCCCAAACACTATTTGTGATTCTCCAGAGAAGTAACATCATAAGAATCCCTATTTCTGGATGTGATTCCAATTTCTTTCTGTTACTTAAGTGTTTGCCTTTTTCTCTCCTGTGTGTTTTGTTTGTTTGGTCTTCAGGCTAAAAGAAAACTGTGGTTGACAGTTACTGATAGATAATTTAATAAAATTGTGTCTTTTGCCTGAAGATGAAAACCAAAAAGAAACTCTTGCAATTGCCAACGTATACCTGTGGTGACTTCACAGACTTTTCCCTCCTTCCCCATTTTTGTAAAGATAAAACCCCAAGACACTTAATTTGCAGGGTAGGGGTTGGAGGAGGAAAATTAGATGAACTTATTTTTTCAAAACTACCCTCAGAGGTTCATGATTCAGAGAGCAAAGGAGCTAGGTTAACTTGGATTTCCTCACCTCTGAATTTACTTTGACAGATACAATTAAAATTAAAAAGACCTATTTGTTTGCATCTTAGTATTTGTAGTAAATGGTAATCACTCATCTTCCCTAGTATTAAGAACACTGGACTAGGAGGATACTTCAATTTCTAATTTCAGCTATACCATCTGCTATACCCCCAGGCTGGTCACTTCGATATGCTGGGTCACTTTTTTCTTATGTAGAATGAAGAGGTTGGACCAATTATCTCTTAAGTCCCTTCTAACTGGAAGGCTGACAGCATCTTTTTCATCCTTCTTGCTCTCTACTGTCTCTGGAAGTTTTTCTCTCCTCATCCATCCTTTTGACTGCTAACCTGAAATGAGACAGCTCGAAGGAGAAATGTTTGTTTCTTTTTCTGCATTGCAACTTGTGTGGTACTGAGGGTAGATAAAATTTCGCCTATCAACCTCAAAACATGAAACTTTGTAGTTATCTATGGTTCTTTATCCTTTGTATTTTAATATCCACTCCAAATGAAGTTCTCCCCCCTTTGGGCAGTTTGAATGTCTTCGTTTTCCCAGACAGATCCTTTAACTAAATACTATTTTTTTTGTCTGTAATGCTCTAACAAAATTATTTTCTTGCCTGCTATATTGTCCTAGTGCTTCTTAGGTATGTTGGCATTTTTTCCCATCATTACCTAAAGCTTCCCCCATTGAATTATCTAAGAATACCTGTTCGTTCTCCTGTCTACCTAGTCTTTGTTTGCTACTGAAAACATATCCCCTCACTGAGACCATGGGGTCTCTCAATACAACTGGTACCAGCATCCAGCTTTCACTTAAAAAGAAGTCTTGAGTGGATCGATTACCTCTAGAGGGAGCCCATGGTACTTTTGGATAGTTCTGTGATTAAGAAGTTTTGCCTTGTGGGCAGGAAACCTGGGTTCAAATTCTGTTTCCCATACCCTATTGTGTGACCAAGAGAAAGCTACTTAACCTCTCAGGCTCACTTTCCTTTGCTGTAAAATGGGAGTAATTAATGTGTTCATCACCTTACGTCATGGGGTTGTGGTAAGGAATTCCCTTTTTTCAAATCTGAGTTGTCCAATATTCTTTATTAAAGCAAACCTAAGTATGCCTCTTGAAGCTTCTGTGTGATGCACCTTATTCTGTAATCTGGTGCCAGGCAAACTATTATTTAAGCCCTTTTCTATGGTGACAGCTCTTTAAGAGCTTCAGTACAACTTATCAAGAGGGCAGCCAGGTGGTGAAGTGGATAGAACAATGGTCCTGGAATCAGGAAGACCTAAGTTCATATTCAGCCTTGACACTAGCTGTGTGACCCTGGGCAAGTTACTTAACCCTGTTTGCCTCAGTTTCCTCATCTGTATAATAACCAGGAGAAGGAAGTGGCAAACCACTCTAGCATCTTTGCCAAGAAAACCCCAAATGGGGTCACAGAGAGTCAGGCACCACTGAAAAATGACTCAAAAACAACCTATCATGTTCTCCCTGAATCTTTCCTCCTCATTTCTTTCAACTCATCTTCTGTCATAATTTCCATTTTCTGCACCATCCTGCTTTGCTTGTTCACCATTAGATATTCTTCAGCTTGTCAGCATCCTATCTAAACTGTGGTGTTTAGAACTGAACACACAAAATTCCAGCTATGGTTTGATCAGGACAGAGTACAGTGGCCTGTCGCCTTCCATAAGTTTAATACTATACTTTTCTTAATGTAGCTAAAGTTGCTTTAGTTTTTTCAGCTTCAGCAATCAGTAAGTAAACGTTAAGCACCTCCAGTATGCCAGGTGTTAATGATTCTGTACGTAGAAAATGAAGCAGTGTCACAGTGTTGAGTCACTGACTTTGCAGTCCACTAAAACCATAACTTCTCCATAGGCACCTTATACTTGTGAAGTTGATTTTTTTTTTTAGAACCCCAGGTGTAAGACTTTACATTTATGTCATTAAATGTCATCTTATTCAGCCTGTCATTCCAGCCTGCCAAAATCTTTTTGGATTCTGACTTTGTCATCCAGTGTAAGGTATCCTCTCCCAGCATCAGGCCTTTTATTTTCAACTCCCTCTCCAAACACACCATGCTGCTTGGCTACGTTGCTTTCAAAATATAATTTTCTATGCTTAGGGCATCCTTTGTCTATCCTTAACCATTTCCCTTCTCTGACTTCCTCAAATCACTTCACATACCTTCTCTAAATAATAATAAAAGATAAATTATGCTTTTACTTTTTTTTTTAATGCTAGTGATCATATGAATCAACATGGCTATCAGAGTTCATATATATTGTTCACAATATATAAACCTCTTAGAGGAATTTCCACTTAATTTTCTCC